AACCTGGTGCCAGCACAGGCCAGGAGGGGAGGGACCTTCACTGGTCCAGCAAATCCCCTTGTTCAGGACCAGTTAGGTCCCAAGGGTGCCAGACCAGCAAGGTCAAAGCTGTATATTTATTAAAGGAAGGGAACAGAAAGCAAACAAACAAAAATAAGTGTGTCCATGACACCTTCTTTGGAAATCTTTTCTTCTTTCACCTCCACAGCTGAGCCAAGGAAAGTGCAAAATGCTTCACATCTGGACTAGAGAGAGGACATTTTTCCAAATCTCATTTAGCTCTAGTGCAATTCTAAAAGTGCAAAATGCTTCACATCTGGACTAGAGAGAGGACATTCTTCCAAACCTCATTTAGCTGTAGTGCAATTCTGTGCAGAACACTACCAACCTGTCACTGTTATGCTGATTACAGATCCGCCTCTCCTCTTCCACTTGTCTACTTTTGTTCTGACAGCACCTCATGGATGTCCAGCTGATAGATAAAGCTCATCATGGCCAAAATAGACTTTTTCCCCCAAGCCTCTTTTTCTGTCACCAGCCAGAACATCCTTCTCTCTGTCACTCATAACTTACATTTTTTTTTCTCAGATCTCTTTAAATTTTTACGTTCAAGTTGTGTCTAAAAACTCTTGCTATTTTGTCCTCAGCCACGTTTCTAAAATCTGGGCTGCCTGTCCACACAGCTAAACCTCTTTGCTAGGCCCTCATAATTTTGTGTTTCCGAAGTTATGTCTACACTACCAGGTTATTTGAAATGAAATAACTCCCAAAATAGCTATTGCTTCACAAGCAGGAGTTATTTTGAAATAATGGGCTTGTTTTTTCAAAATAACAACAGGCTTGGTAGTGTGGACATTCACCTTGTTATTTCAAAATAAGGGGAGATATTTTGAAATAACTCCCCAGTGTAGACATGCCCATATGCTTCAATTGCCTGCTCTCCAGTCTTACCAAATCTTGTTTTACCCCACTTGAATCATTCAAAATGTTGCTGCAAAAGATCGTTTTCCTGACTCCTCACTTCAGCCAGCTCACCTCTCGCATTACATCGCCTGTTGCATTCCCCTTTCTACCGCCTCAAAAATAAATGACGTTTGTTCTTATTTAAGGCTCCTGATGGCCTATTCCCAATCAGCGATACACTATCTATATGTTAATTCTTGCCATTGTTCTAAAAATTATGCCATTTTTAATTGCTCATTTCAAAATTCCAGCAAGCATCTTTGCACTTTCTCCAGTGCTGACCTTCATGTAGGTGCTCCTCATCAAAATCTTCATGCCACCATATTACCCTCCTTCAAATCCCTCTTTAACATTCCGCTATACCATGTGGCTACACAAATCTCAAAAGCGGTTTGGACGCTGGTGTGCAGTGATCACTGCTTTTTGTGTAAACCACAATCACAAGCCCCTTATTTCTCTCTTCTCTGGTATGTCTGCTACATCCACCTATTGTTTCTTGTCTTATACTTAGATTGTAAATGGTTTGGGGGAAGGGACCATCTCTCTTAGCTACTAAATATTTTTTAGAGTTTGTATATCTGTTTATTTGGCTGTTTGTTCAAGAACTTCTCCAAAATGGTAAGAGCTGGAACCACTAATTTGTTATGCAGTTTCCTCATGTCATAACTTGAAGCAACGTAAGGGTTTGATTGTGCCAGGAAAATGTGATGTGTGTGGAATGAGATTGCTTCTCATAGAACCATACAGAAAAGAGGCAGGGGAAATGGACTGGCTGGGGGCCACACCCCTTTTCATCTGGGACTGCTCTAGCCCCAAGCCTTCCCTCCACTTCAAGCACCCTTTATGGAGGGCAGCGGGGGAAGAGAAGTTCCTTCCCCCAGTTCATATGGGGATGTAGCTGGCTGTTTCCCTTCACCACTGCCAGGGAGTGAGGGGAAAGTACACGCCTAGGCTGTGTCTAGACTACACCTCTCTGTTGACAGAGAGGTGTAGATTAGGCACATCGAAATTGCTAATGAAGCAGGGATTTAAATAGCCCAATTTTCATAAGCATAAACATGGCCGCCGCCTTTTTTTTTTAAACGGAGCTTTTTCGATAAAAAAATCCTGGCAGTCTAGACGAGGTTCTGTCGAAAATAAGCCCTTTTTTGACAGATCCTGTAAACCTCATTTTTTGCCCTCTTAGTGGATGCCTTTAGTCTCAAAGATCCGTGTCTAGACTGCCATTTTTTTCGAAAAAGCTTCATTTCGAAAAAAAATCGGCAGCCATGTTTATGCTAATGAAGCATGGGATAGTTAAATCCCTGCTTCATTAGCAATTTTGATGTGCCTAATCTACATCTCTCTGTTGACAGAGATGTGTAGTCTAGACACAGCCCTAGTGTTATAAGCACCTAGAACTATGAAGCCCTGGTCTGTAGGCATCATCATCACCATCATCAAAATAATGGAATAATGAAAGTGGTTTCTTAGCTACCAGTCAAGGCCTGTGCCAATTAAAGTCAATTGAAACACTCCCTTTGATGTCAATAAGCATTGGAGCAGGCTCCAAGGTAGCAGCCACAAAGCAGCCTGTCTGGAGTGGAGAAAGGATGGAGGAACACGCTTTCCCCCACCAGCAGCTCCTGTACACCTTCAACTGGGCCCAGCTGACCACATACCTGAGTGAGTTTCAACCCAGCCAGCAGTGTGAAGTCAAAGTCTGGAGAGGGAGCATTGCCTGTTCCCACCACAAAAGCCTAACGTGGAGGCAGGAAGGGTTGTTAAGGTTAAACCTGCTGTGCAAGTTCCTGTATGCTATTGGCAGGCTCTGATTCTACAGCCAGTGCATCTTTCCCTGTGAGATCACAATGCAAGGGATTTCTCTGGAGGCATAGGGCTGGCAGTTACTCCCCTCCCTGCTGCCTATATAGGGAGCCTGGCCAGAGACAAAGGAAAATGGCAGGCATGTCCCTCCTTTGTGCTGAACCTTGCCTGTGAATTCAATCCTTTGAGACTAAAGGCATCCACTAAGAGGGCAGTCCTCCTTCCCTCCCAGGATCTAGTCAGCTGGGGCTCTATGCAATCAGGAACCAGATCTCACCTGGATGAGTGATCCTCTTTGGGAGATTAGTACAAGTGTTTTCCTGATGTTGCATAGCTGGTAACATACACAGGCAGGTGGAATGACACCAAAGAAGAGGATCAGCAGTGCATTGAAGGCATGGCAAAAGAGATCTGATGGCACACAACTCAGTAAATGGGAACTGTAAACTGTGCCAAGAGATAGTTTAAAAAAAATCAATAAAAAATGGAGGAGTTGTACTTGAGAGCGATTTTATTTTGTAGACATTGTTCCACATTTCTCCATAGAAACTAATGGGTTTGACTATGGTAAAATTTTTGCATCCTCATTCCAGGAAGCTGTGCTCATTGGGACAGACAGTGACAGTTACTCTGGAGCAGATTCATGACCACTCATGAAATTCTCGGCGTTCACTCATGAATACTTACAAAGGAAATAGAGGTGGCTTTGCCTGGCTTTCCTTAAAGGAATGAGCTGCAAAATAAGGCAAGAAAAAGGAACAATAATATTTACGAGAGAAAATATTGGCTATGTCTAGACTGGCCAGTTTTTCTGGAAAATCAGCCGCTTTTCCGGAAAAACTTGCCAGCCGTCTACACTGGCCGCTTGAATTTCCGCAAAAGCACTGACTTCCTACTGTAAGAAATCAGTGCTTTTTGCGGAAATACTATGCTGCTCCCGTTCAGGCAAAAGTCCCTTTTGCGCAAAGCTTTTGAGCAAAAGGGCCAGTGTAGACAGCTGAGATTTGTTTTGTGCAAAAAAGCCCCGATCGTGAAAATGGCCATCGGGGCTTTTTTGTGCAAAAGAGCGTCTAGATTGGCCACGGACGCTTTTCCGCAAAAAGTGCTTTTGAGGAAAAGTGTCCGTGCCAATCTAGACGCTCTTTTCTGAAAATACTTTTAACGGAAAACTTTTCCGTTAAAAGCATTTCCGGAAAATCATGCCAGTCTAGACGTAGTCATTAAGTGTACAAAGGAAAATGCTATAAATGTTGTGGCTGAAACACCAGAGATGTTAAAAAAAATCAACAGAAATAAAATCAGTCAGAAGGTTATTATATGCTGTTATATAATTCAAGAGCTGATAGAAAAGGGAGATCAGGATTTGATAAAAAAATGACAGGGCCCTAAGCATTTAATATTTACAATTGATGAAATGTTAATTGTTCTGGTATTTATTAGGATGAGAGTCATTAGAAAATAAAGTAGTGTTAAGTGTTAAGTTACAAGGCTTGAGGCCAGGCACCTTGCACAGCTTGGCTATACCTCCTTTCCCAAATTGTGGTGCTTATCCGTGGTTTGTTTGAATGTTCTTACACTTTAAATACTTAAATCTGTTTGGAAAACAGAATTCTCATCCTTCCCCTTCTGGTGAGGTGCATATGTTACTGAAATACTTTGCCCTCCATTCTCTTTCAGAGTGTTAGGTAGCATAGTATAGGCAAGAAGTATCCCCCAGACATTATTTACACACACAATTGTTCCAGATGATAGAATTACAGGCACAATTCATTAGAATAATGCACATTCTAGTCAAATCAGCAGTTTCCATAGAACTTAGCAACTTTGGGTACTGCTTCCTTCAGCACTTCAGGACTGATTTTTAAGGGATCTTTACTCAGCCTTCAGTTATATGTACACAATTTCACATCTACAATAAATGGTGGTCTCTGTGCTTTGCAGGCACAAATTTTCATATTTAATTAGCTAATTACTTGATTTCTGTGCACAATCAGGCTTTATACAATCAAATTTTAAAAAGTGTCCGCTGAATTTGGGTGTCTATATATTCTGTTGCCAAAAATAAGTCATGGGTACACATGAGTTGAGCCAAATGGAAGCAGTAGGCACTCAGCAATTCGGAAAATAAAGCCATAGATGCCTGAGGTGGGCCCATGTCATATTGCTCAATATATCTTTCTTCAGCTTGCAGGAATCAAATTGTTTAGCAAAATAAAAAAAAATCAGATGAAATGATAAATGTTATGCTCCATTCTTATTACTTTTTCTTTTAATCTTTAATTAGATATTTCTATATTTAAAGGCAAAGCAATTAGAATACTACACCCATTAATCCCTGGGCTCTGGTCAAATTCAGGTGAACTTTTCTGAAAAATCCTGTCCCAGTTATGCAGCAGTCATTGCCATTCATTATCATTAGCTAAACCAGTTCCCTGGGGTGGTGTTCCAATCAGGTGTTTGTCCTGGTTAAGCATTGATTAAATGGAGTGTTTTGCATAGTGAAAGTTATATATAAAGTATTAGGACACATAAACATGTCAGGGAACATTTGTGCCCTACCTAAAAAATATTACCTCGATGTATATTTGGTATAATTGATGTAAAATATAATTAGGTTGATGTGTAATTGTAACAGCTGGCATTGTTGAAAAATTCCTGGAAAAGTTCGTAGTGGGAAAGTCACTACTATTCCCCTAAGCACCGAGGACTAGAACTGCCCAAGAATAGATCTCAGACAAGATATAACAGCAGCATTCTATGATTAGCTCTCTTCACAGGACAGAATCTTAGCAGGAAATTATGTCAAGACAGGCCATAGTGCAACACTTTTGATTTCATGTTCCCATTGTGTATATTTGGGAGTTGTAATCAACTCCACCATAAATCATGAAGGAAAAATGAGTAAGAACCAGTGAAACAGAGTTATCAGCAAAGGACTGGAGGTTAGAAGGAAATGGAGAACAAAAAGGGAGTTGTTTATGGAGGAGTGGAGGAGTGGAGGAGAAAGGATACAGCAGCTTGTAGTCTTATGGCCAAAGGAAAAGGAACCAGATTAGTCCACAGGCACTGGGGGAAAGAAAAGGCGGGACTGAGAAGGGCAGGGAACAGATCTAGTTGGGCTGAAAACAGGTCTATTAAACTTCAGATAAGCATGTGAACTTTGGAGAACTTATTGTAAATACATTTCTGCACCATTATGTGTTATTTGCCTACCACTCTCATATAGGGAATCTGTCCCCACCGCTCCAGTCTCAGTTCTCTTTATCTAGAATCCTTCCATTCTCTGTCCTCTTTACATTTTCTCTTTATAGACTCATAGGCTACGTCTACACTGGCCCCTTTTCTGGAAGGGACATGTTAATTTCAGCTATCGTAGTAGGGAAATCCGCGGGGGATTTAAATATCCCCCGCGGCATTTAAATAAAAATGTCCGCCGCTTTTTTCCGGCTTTTAGAAAAGCCGGAAAAGAGCGTCTACACTGGCCCCGATCCTCCGGAAAAAGCGCCCTTTTCCGGAGGCTCTTATTCCTACTTCTTACCCTGGAGGAAAATTCCTTCCCGACCCCAAATATGGCGATCAACTAAACCCTGAGCATGTGGGCAAGACTCATCAGCCAGACACCCAGAAAGTTCTCTATAGTAACTCCTATCATCCCTCCACTGACCTATTTCCCACTGATAATGAATGGTCAATTAGATACCAAGATCCTGTTATCTCATCAAACCATCCCCTTCAT